GATCGAATAAAGCGAAGCACTGCTTGAGAGTATATGCAGTTCACCGACACAAGTCTTTGCTAGAATTATTGAATCAAAGGGCTGTTATAACTTGTAATTAGAAACTTTGAAACATACCAGCAGCCGGAAAACAGGCTCAATCAAAGCTGAGAACTGCAGCTGGAATGGGTCTGGAGCAGCAATGAACTGTTCCAAAATGGAAAGAACTTGGTGAAATCCCGTAGGGGGAGCATCTGAAAGAAAAGGTCTTCTTTATGATAGTGCAAAGTAACGATAAGATGTGAGTTAGGAAAAAAATCGGAAGCGACTATTAATGAAAGAATAAAATTTGGAAAAGGCAATTTAGATAAGTTTTTTACCGATGTCAAACAGTTGACCGGAAAGATGAGCACCACTGTTGAAGCCGAAGAGTAAAAAGCACAAGTTGGTTTCTTCTGGATCTGTTTCGATCGAATCTGGAGAACAATTATCAAAGTAAGTGATATGTTCTCCTTAACAACACAAACCCTAAGGGTATTTAAAATGTAGGAGGTTCTTTTGCTACCAACCTGACAAAGTTTCTAAGAGAACAAGTGCGGCTTCGCCTCTCAATCGTATCGGATCACTTTCGTAAACTTCTGAAAAACACATAGCAGATACCAAAATACCATCAATACGCTGCGCATTATTTATTAGTCGAATTTGATCTGCATCAAAAACTATGGTTTGATGATAATGACCAAAATTTACAAAGATCTTCTAGACTGCGAGTAATCAGAAGTATGTTCTTATGTTAGATAGGGTTACACAGATGCATTTTTTAATATTATTTTCGTACAATATGTAAGATGCGCAACAAAAACAGATATTGAAAAGAAAGATCCAATAACAATTACAGGTATTAACAATGACCGATCTGACCTGTAGCATCCATATCTGAGATAGTGAACCTGATCGTCCCCGGATTCAAAACACTGCGGATAGCTCGAATGTTGCGTGCGACCATTCTTCTCGCAACCAGCA